TTTTTTTATTTTGTAATTTTGTTAAATAAATTCCTATTTAACAATAATAAAAATGAAAAATCAGGATATTAATATATAAACTCGTTAATATTGTTGCAAAATTTTTGGTTACCTAGATTACGTTTGTTTAAATTGAAGTATAATACATCAAATTTAAATATTAGAAAAGTACTTGAGATGATAATTCGGTTTTAAGAACTGATATGATCATTAGCCCAAATTCTAAGATGAATTCTGATTCACGAATCAATGCAGTCTGCAAGTTATCTATATTGGAACTCACACTTGCCCAAATATTTTCTGAAAATCCACATCATTTTTCAAAACCAAACTATCACTCTAGGCACTTTCCATTCACTTTCACTTAATTAGAAAAACCTGAGATTGGAAAATATAATTTCATCATTTGTACAGTTTTATATACTGTAAAGCTATGAAATCCTCATACGTATGTATGTATGATACGTATATTAATGTAAAATAAAAAAATTAACAACCATCACAAATATATCGATATTTCTACCAACAAGCAAAAATATTATCTACAAAAATAGGCACTCTATATTTCGAAATGGTCATATATTTCTATGGAATTCTATAAACTATATAAAGATGCTCATGAATGCAAAAACTTTCAGTGAATATAATGTTTATAAACTTTGTATTTTAAATATAAAATGATAAGAAAACGTTTTATAATATTTAAAATATGATAATTGATCTATTTCTACAAACAAGAATTTTTAGCATAAAGTCCTCGGAAAAAGTTCAAAATGTATTTTATGAACGAATATATGTGTACGCGAAAAAAATTATACGAAAAAAGTCATTATTCATTTACTTAAAATAGGCAATACGTAACTTTTGAAAGAATAAAACAATTCAATAAATGAATTGTTTTATTCTTTCAAAAATGTTACTTGCCATCAACAATTGTCAAGATAGATGAAAATACATAAATGATATATTGTATGATTATATTATTTAATAAAATACATGTAAAAACTTTTATTGTTTATATTTTATCTCGCAATAATTTTCTCGTCTTTCTCGTTGTTTCTTAATTCTGATGAATGTCAATAATTTCAATATCAAAATAAAAAATAATTACGGACCAGAAGTAAATTCTATTCATCATTTTTCAATAAAATAAATAATTGAATGTTTGAAATATTTCTAAGAGAAAAGTGTAATAACTATCACTTGACGTCCGTTCAATTTGTCAATTGGCAAACGCATACTATGATCTTTGAATGATACGCTTTTGCGAAGATTATTAATACCAATGACTTGCTACAAGATCTATATATATATATATATATCACATGGTAAACTGTAGTTAAAGCAGTATGCAGCGAAGGCTAAGGTTCAGTCATGTGTGAGAGCAAAGTCTGTGCGAAAAGTAATTTTTCTTTACGAAGTTTATCGTCGAATACAAAATGTTGCAATTATATTTCTTAAATATTTGTTAAATGTTTTCTTGACGAAAGTATTTTTTATCTAAAAATTTACAGTATTCACTTTTAAAAAGAGCAGGTTAAATCGAATATGTAGGAGTTTATTACTATCATTTTTCCACAATATATATATATATATATCGATTGATTCTCTCGCGCTTTGTAAACAGCTGTTGCGGAAAGAGCACATTTCGATAATTTGCATATTTATCATATATGTATATTGTACGTAACGGTTATCGCGGATAAGAAGGTTACAAGTTGTGTGAAAATTACTTCGTATTTTCTTTGAAGTATTTTACAACTAGTTAAATATTGAAAATAAATTATACACCTTTACAATTATATACCTTTTTCTTTATATAGTTATTCATAATTCACGAAGTGGACACACACACACACACACACACCACACACACACCACACACACACACACACACACACACACACATATATATATATTGCAAGAAAATATATATATTGCAGACAAAAGAAATAACACGCGT